AATACCCAAAATTTCGGTTTTTCAGTTTAATCGAAAACCGAAATAGAAAAACCGTAAACCGCACCAAAAAACCGAAAATTAATAATTTTAAAACCGTGCATCGATCGAAAAACCGATTAAATCGAAACCGAAAAACCAAAATTCACGGTTCGGTCGGTATTATGCCCACCCCTATATCGAACTGTTCAAACCTTCGAACAATTTAGTACTGAATAAAATTGTGCTAAGGCACAAAAAAGCAAAGGGTTTCGATTACACTAAACCCCGAAAAAACCCAACGGGTGCAGACTTACTTCGTGCTAAGGCATGATAAATTTTTATACGATCAAACTTGTAAGCCGAAAAGGGAAAAAAAAGCCACTCTTTTAAGGCCATATCGGCCCAATTCAAGAGCCTAAGGGCCCTTATATTTTTTTGAGTTCGAGAATCCACCCTCACTCAACTAAAACCTAAGGGTTTTTCTACATTGAGTTCGAGCAAGTACTCACTCGATTGTAGAGACTATATTAGTCAGACTTCAATCAAGTTGCCTAAGTTTCGGATTCACAAACAAAATTTTCGCAAGGCACGAAGTAAGTTAAAATTTTCACAAGGCAAAAGTCGAGATAAGAAAGGAAACGTTTTATATATATGTGTGTATATATATATATATATATATATATATATATATATATATATATGTGTGTGTGTGTATTTATATATATATATATATATATATATATGAAAATATTTACATGGATCGGATAGGATCCTACACAAAAAATTCAAAAAAAAAGAGAAGGAAAAAATCCTAAGTGCCTAATTTTCTTCGAAAGCTGCGTCTTCGTCATCAGAGTCCCCTCCACTCTCGGATCCACTCGCTCTCCCGGAATCATCATCATATGAAGAGAGCAACGTTTTGGCTTCGGCCTCGAGTACTTTCGCTTTCTTGATATCGACAACAAGGTCAAAGCCACGAGCATGAATCTCCTCAAGAGTCTCTCTTCGAGACTGATACTTGGCATGCTCGATAGCCCAGTATGATCCAGTCTGAGCGGTGTCAGCCACTTCCTTTGCTCAAGCTTGAGCAGCTTCAGCATCAGCTCGGTAGACGGCCACGATCGCCTCCGCATCAGCCTTTACTTTTTGTGCCTCATATGTGGCCTTTGCAAGTTCGGCGGCCAACCAAGCCTCGAGCTCCTCAATTTGCTGAGCTTTCTTCCTTCATGCTTTGGAGTTGACGTTCGACCGATGACAGTTGGGCTCGAGCAGTATCTTTATCCGAGGCAAGACGGTCCATGTTTTGTTTCCACCCCAAAGTCTCCGCCTTCATCATGTTGGCCTCCTCACGAAGCTGCTCAATTTTTTCGACCTTCTGATGAACCTGCAGGATCAAAGTATTAGTCATCGTTCCCGAATTGATACATCGAGCTGCTAAAAAAATTTCATTACCTGCTCAATTAGGTCGGTCTGCTCTTTATGAGCTGTGGCCAATTCAGCTCAGAGGTCCTTGATCTCCTCTTTTGTTTGCCTGCTGAGAAGTTTGAGGGCATTTCTCTCCTCCGTGAGTCTTTTGAGACCAGCCTCGCACCAGCTCAGCTCTGCCCGAGATTTAGAAAACGCTTCCCGATGAAGTGTCAAGGCCTGAGAAGAAAGAAAGGAAATCAGGCAAGGAGAAATAAATGCCAGCGTAATATTGATGAAGGGAGCTGAGGCTTACCCGGCTCAGAAGTCGTTGAGCCTCATCGAAGAGACTCGATGCATCACCCAGGTCGGTAGCATCTTCGATTCCCGTGAAGCAACCACGGAAAAGGTCCTTCCCACATCGGTGGTCTCCATGGCCTAGGCTTCCTGAATTTGCCTCTAAAAAAATATGGGGAGGGGCGGCGAATCACCAATATATATTGCCCCAAGAAAGTCACTTGGGGCGTTCGCTTCGAAGGGCCTAAGAACCGGTCCCTTCAGGCACTTCCGCTGATTGCTTATCACGGCAGGAGGCATCTTCAGCCTCCGATGACTCAGGGACTTTGCTCGGGCCATCTTGCGAGATAAGCAGGAGGCATCTTCATCCTCCGATGACTCAGGGACTTTGCTCGGGCCATCTTCCGAGATCTCCTCGGTCCAAGGCTGAACCTCTTCGATCATCACCGGCTTAGCGGCCTTTGGGGCCTCGGCACTCCCTTTCGATCGGGCTACTAGCTCGAAGCCAGCATCTTCATTTTCCTCTTCCTCTTCCTCTTCCCTTAGTCGCTGAGCTACATCAGTAGGCAGGAAGACGGTGTCTCTCTTCAACCTGCGAGCCTTGATCTTCTTGGGCTTTGGAGTATCGGGGGCGAGACCTTTTTTCTTTTCTTTTCCTTCGACGGCTTCGGGGCCGGGGGCAAAACCTCCTCCTCCCCGGACGGGGGCCTTATGACGGCATCTTTCCCGAGGCATGTATGAAAGGAAACCAAGTGAGTATAAGAGGGAAACATTTTAAGGCCATCAGATACGTAAAGAAAAGGCTTACCATGATTTTTGGCCTCCCATCAGCCCCTTGCTAAATCGTGCCATGAGCGCTCAACGTACGAGGAGGTCGAAGCTAGGGTTCGAACCTAGCTCTAGAGGTTCGAAATCGCACCAGGCATCCAAGCGACCTCTACATCATAGAAAAGGGATGTCGATGAGGAGAAGCAAAGGAAACAAAACAGTAAATAGAAGCTAAAGGAAGGATTGAACTTACGCTTCATATTCCATTTCTCGGGAAATGGCATCTTCTCGGCCGGAATTAGGTCGGAAGTCTTCACTCGAACGAACCGACCCATCCACCCTCGATCCTTGTCCTCGTCTATGCTCGAGAACAACACCTTGATGGCCCAAAGCTGAAGCTTTATCAACCCTCCTCGAAAAAAATAGGGCCTATATAGCTTGATGAGGTGGTCGAGAGTGAAAGGCGTCCCTTCTTTTTTGCTCGCAAAAAATCGGAACAAAATGACAATCCGCCAAAAGGAAGAGTGGATCTGACCTAGGGATATTTGGTATTGGCGGCAGAAGTAAATGATGACGGGATCGACAGGGCCTAGCGTCAAAGGGTAAGTGTAAACACTTAGAAACCCTTTCACGTGGGTAGTGATATCTTCCTCGGGAGTCAGAATCACCACCTCTTTCTTCTCCCAATGACAGTCTTTCTTGACCTACTCAAGGTCACTCTCAGTTATCAAGCACATGTATCTCGACATCGGCTCGCACCGGCCAGGGACAAAAGAAGTTTTCTCGACTTTAAAGTCGGAAGTAAGATCACACACCCCCCTCCCCCGGGAACGCACTCCTCGGGGCGCGGCTCCAACAGCGTTTTATCACCGGCCGGCCGCGATGAAGAGGCGCCCTCCTTTTGTGGAACGGTTTTATATGTTTTTGCCATCTCTGCAAGTTGAAAGAAAGAAGAAGGGAATAAGGTTTGGTGTTTTGAGGGAAAGTTGATAAAACTGGAGATTATGCAGCACAAAAGGGCTTGAAGGAAGTGAAAATCTTTGAAGATTAGGATGGAGATAAAGGGTAAAGTTTGGACAAAAGAGAAGGAAAGCACATCTATAGGAAGAAGGTGACGGTTCAAAATCAATATTTGGCGGACAGCAACTGACAGGAATTTAATGCCTCGACATGCGAACTGACAGGACATTTCAGTCACTCCCGTCGCTTAAGTCATGAAGATGACGTCATGACAGGTCGAAGTACAAAATCGAAGGCTCAATTCGTTTCTTCTCATTACACTCCAAGAAACGAGGGGACTATCTGTATACGGTTAAACCCGGGCCTACCCGATTTTACTATTTGATCGAGGCTAGGGAATTACGTCGATGGTCGTCTCGCAACGGACCAGCCCGAGGTACGAGGATAAGGCACTGAATTCGAGGACCGAGGCACTTATCAAAGATCGAGGCCATTAACGATCGACACCAAATGAGACAGACATCAAGCAAAGCACAATAATAGAAAGGCGAGATAACCGTGACTGGCGAAGATCGTGGCGTAAATCGCGGAACATATCAAATCAAAGGCGGTTATTTAGTTAATCATGGGATTACTTCCGTAATTAGAATTGTACCATAAATAGGATTCCTTTACTAGATAAAGAGGGCCTTAATCATCTTGTAACCATCTTACATTCTCACATATCAAAACAATACATTACTTTTTAGCTTATATTCTTGTCCATCAGTTTGCTTCTTAACTATTTTGGGCATCGATCAGTTCGAGGGCACTTAAGCTTGAGTGTTGAATCACGTTTTAAGACTGGTTTGCTTTATCTCATTGTTAAACTTTACTGCTAATTTCTACGTTTGTCAATTGTAATTAGGTAATATCACGTGTCCTTAAATCACATTATAAATTTAACTTTTATCCGATTTTTAGGGTAAACATGGTTAAAAAGATTTGATCGAGAATGCAGTCAATAAAACAATGAATATCTGGAAGAGTGTGGTAAACTTTGCATCTAACAAAATAGAAAAAGACGAATGTGAATCCAATTCACTTCTTCTGCATATAACAAAATTAAGAATGCAGTCTACAATCTACATGTAGTCCTAGTAGATTCATGTACACCTAAGTACTTGAAAGAATGAATGCAGGTTGCTCTCGGAATTTTTAAATCCAAAACTGTTGGCCCAGAAGTTATGTATCCTTGGATTGTCAAAACACAATTATAAGGTCGTTTTTCCTTTTGGCATAACGATATAAGTGATATTTGCATCAGTAATTGGTATATCGAGTAGCCAACTAATTGTATCAGTGAGAACGCCAACGGATTAACTTGGCTAAAAACTTATCATACATAGAAAAACAGTTCGAACTTCTCTTACATCATTCTTCAATTTCTGTAAAGCATTCGAAGCCACCACATACCAGTATACCACCTTCAATTCTTTTCACAACAACGCACTTCCTGATTAGCGAGATGTGAAAAGTAATACCACCATTTTAACTTGGGAATTAGACTCAGAGATGATAGGAAACAGCCTCTCTGCCTTTTTAGGGTAGAGGTAAAGCTGCATACACACTACCCTCCCCAGATCACTACCGTTGTTGTAATTAGACTCACAGATGCTGATGGTTAAATAAAGTACACGGGTAAACAATTCGAGAACTGCGAATTCTACTGGAATAAGTTGCTCTCATACATTTGATCAAATACTCGTAGTGTTGATTTTTTTTTATTTTTTTTTAAAAAACAAAATGCTCTTACCTTTCTACAAAATTGGGAGAAGGAGAGCAGCATGAAGACGCGAGAAGTGGAAAAAAGGGTTACTTCAACAGCTGAATGAATTCAAACGATGAAGTTCGTATCACAGACTATTGATCATTATTGCGATTTTCATTTTGCTTTCACCTATTCATACAAACAGCAGCCTTCCGTTCATCCTAATGTGTACTAAGGATATGAGTTCCACTCTATATGCAAAATTGAATGTACACTTTCTGATAGAGGGATAGCTTCTTTAGGATCACATTTAGTTGTACGGCTAATAAGACTCCTTCCCCTGAATCAGTGGTGTGCATCTCATATTTTCAGGTATTCACGGCTGATACGCTTTCCGAGACAGTAATGACATTTACAGCTGCACATACACAGAGATGCATATAACATCCATACCCCAAGAAGACTCCATTCAGATTATAACCACCCACTTTTTTTTTAAAGCATAATTGACCACTCACTGATACAAAAGTTAAATCAGTAGAGAATCAATCTCGAAACCTACCATAAATTTTCAGTTGTCTGCAGATAACTGCAAAAAGAATAGGAGTGTGATGAAATCCTAGCTGGTTGGTTTACTCCTTCCATAAACAGGGTTCAAGGCACTGTAGGTGTCATCAGTGAGATCGGATGTTCTGCAGAAGCATCGTTAGGTGCTTTTGCAGTGGTACCCTTTACCTAGCAGAGGATCCAGGAAAACAAAGACAACGATAAGAATGCTTCAATGAATAGTATTATGACCAAAAATAAGGATAGAAACCTATAAGGGGGATGAAAGTTGTCCCAAGTGTAAACTAAGTCCTCTGTGGAATGAATAAAAGCTGGAGCTATCCACAATTTGCTCATGAATTTTGGAGAGAATAATTCCAGATGCAGGGCTTAAGAGGGTGTTTTCCTAAATCAACAAGCACTCAGGAATGTAATGCATCAGTAAAGGATCATGCAAGTGTGCCTTATTTTCCACTTGCATATCTCCATCATCTGCAAACTGCAATTGTAACCACAACCTATTTTGTCGAAGTTTCTTGAGATAAAAATCATTATGGTGCTAAGCTGCAACAACTAGATTTCCACTCTAAGAACATACCATTAGAAAATAGGAAAAACAAAGCTTCGCCAAAGTAACTGAACTGGAATATAATCTAGTATCTTTGTTTATCAGTTCTAATAGCTGCGATTATTGTTTCGTTTGGGCACTTATTCGCTTTCGCATTTCATTACTATCAATTCCCCATACCTCTTACACATATCTTTTTGTTTCTCCTTTCTTCTTTCTCTCTGCTAAAGTTAAATGCTAAAACTATTTATCAGGTACTTAATTGGAGTTGTTTTCTCACAAGGCTTGTGTTCAGACTTCGGACAAATAAAAGATGCTGCTGGATGTATTGATAAACAACTAAAAACTGAATGCTGATTTCTCTGTAAACAGAGAATTTCAACAGGAAATTTCGGATTTTCAGATCTGATTGATAATTAGTACACTTTAATGGATAATATAAACATTTTTAATTAACTGCAGAACATAACTAAGGATGTAATGAAATATATAGGACAACAAATATGTACCTGCATCATTAGAGTTTTGATGACTTCCTGTGCAGCATTGTTTTTCTCTGTTTCAGTTCTAGCTTGTTCAGTTTTCTCTTGAAGTTGCTTTGATTTTTTCTCAAGCTCAGCCTCTAAGAAAAGAGATCTCTGGGTGAGAATCTCTACCTGCATGGGTTACGTCTCAGGTTCAATAGAGCACGTACAGATCAACTTATACTACAGATTTCTTTGTTTGAAAGGAGAAGTAACACTGCATACAATGTAATTAGTTTAAGCTGACTGCTGTTTCTAATCAGTTGGTCATTGGACTATTTCAAGAAAACCCTTTGCAAGAAAAATACCAGAATCTAGTGCAATAGGTAGAGCTACGCTATATTAAAAAACCACAGCAACACAATTTTCCCAACGAAATTTAGGATATTGTGCACGAAAAAACTATTTTTGACCAATCAGGACAACTCAAGCAAAGTTTTTTCTTGAGATATTATTGTTTTCATCCCTTATCCTGTTGTTCCAACCATTGTAAAATTGTTTCCACAAATAGAAGGCCTGTCCGAAAAAGACATCACTTTGAACTCACTTATCCAAAAAGCTATTTACGCATCTACTTGACATTCTCTTAGGAGTTAATGATATATACCTGCAGTTTTGATAATAAAAATACAAGAAGAGGTGGATTAGTAGTTACGTGGTGTAGAACTCTTAAGAGTCACTATTTGATTTCAAAACAGTGGCAATTCAAAAATAATTTCAATCAAATCAGAATAAAGGATTAAGTCGCTGATCCAATTAGTGACTTCTATCTAACGTGACTCCTTTTCAAAATATCTCTTTTGAAACATTTTGAGAACAGCTCAAAATATGAATCATGGGTGAAAACAGTATTAACTCAAGAATAATTTCTAAAACAAAAGATGATTCAACAATAAGATGGGACAGCAGAACAGTAAATTGGAAAGTGTACAGAAAGAATGTTAACAGAAGGCCAGGTCTCTTAAATAGTAGACACAATATGGAAGGGGCCAGAAAAGTTGATGCAGGATAAATGTTCTAAAAATCTCTAGTCTTATGCAGTGGCAGAGACACAATATGGAAGGGGCCAGTAATTATTTTTATATGTATATATTATTATATGTTGACTCCCCTTGACTTCTTCGTGTGTTTACTTCTTACATTTTGACACCCTTAGTGAAAATTCTGGCTCCGCCGCTGGTCTTATGGTTATACTAACAATACAATATGTCTGATGAAGGAGAATGACAAAGTAACATCTTCATGAAATGAAACCAAGTAGAATTCGGAAATTGAATTGTCCAGCAGCATAGTATTCAGAAGCCACTACCATATCCACAAAGAGATATTATCTGTAGGGAAACTATATCCACGGCAAGTTAGTTTTCTCGGGAAAGTTGATATATAAGTTGAAACAGTACCTCAGAAAAGGAAATCTATACGTAAATTACAATCAAAACTTTTGAATGAACACACAACTAGACAACAAGTAACAGCAACCTCGTGAAACCGAACCAGGATATCCTAGGTGGAAATAACTTACTGTCAACCACATGTAGCTTGACCCCTATATATACTTATTTTGTCCTTTTTTCCTTCATTGACTAGTGAGTGATGCTTCCACTAATTTCCATAACAAGTGTCAAAGCCATACCATATGCTCTCTAATGATAGTAATTCTCACATATAGAAGAAACGAAAATAAGTGATAATTCTGATATTCTAATATGAGACGTCTGGTTTTCTACTTCAATGATTCTTTTAAGCATGACAGAATGCAGCAATAAAGAGGCTCGATAAAAAGAATCTTGACCATTTTTACCTGCTCCTTCAATATTGAAATTTCTTTTTTCAGACTTTCACTTGTTTGCTTTGAATCATCAAGATCCACTTCGTGATATGCTTGTGCGGCAATAGCAGATCTCAGTGACACAGAATAAGATGAACTTGATTCCAAAGAAGCAGGAGAGCCAGCTTGAGAATGACTTGTTGATCCAACAAAAGAAACAGACAATTTCTCGGGGCAATCAGAAAAAGACATCAATGGGCTTGATGTTTGAGATACTTCACACTGAGTATTGCCATTGGAGATTGGAGAGACCTGGCCAGAGTTCAAATCTTGCTTCTGGTTTTTCTTAGGATGTTGATTGTCAGACTGCTTGAATGAATTGAATGAGGACAGCCTAGACAGCAGGCCTTTTTGTTTGGAAGGCAAGGCCTCTTTCACCTTCTCTCCAGTATTCTTCTGTAAGCTTCCAATAATGGCCTTCGGTGGTAGACAAGTCAATCCAGTATCCAACCCCTTGTTCAATTTAGTAAAGCAATCTTCACACACACGATAAGGTTTGTTCATTTTTGGAGCCAAAGAAGCTTTTACGGATCTTTTACTGGTGCACACTTTGCAAAAGACAAGCCCACAGTTGTAGCAGTTATGGCGTTTTCGTCTGAGATTAAATGGACTCTGGCATCCAGCACAAATGGAATTATCAGCAACAGACACTTCTCTGTGTAGACAAATGGCAGCAGTAAAATTATTTCCGCAGACCACATGCTTTACTTGTTTTGCTTTCAGCGCTTCAACCAGTGTAGGAGTGTTCCTATCATGATTGTCCCCATGTCCTAGCTGACCATTTCCTCCCTTTCCCCACGTGTAAAGCTGAGAGTTTGAGCTCAAGGCCACAACATGGAAAGAGCCACAAGCTATTTCTTCGATGAAACAATTTGTAATTTTTCCTTGAACACGAGAAGGGAACTTCCCAGTACTTCCAGGAATTCCTAGTTGCCCATAATCAGCTTTCCCCATTGTATATACTCGTCCTGATGTTGTCAGAGCAACTGTAATACTATGGCCACAGGCTACTCTACAGAAGTTAATGTCATCCAACTGTAAAATGTTGCATGGAGCGAGTCTAGAAGCATTATCTCCATGTCCAAGTTGTCCATCATCGCCATTTCCCCAGGTGAAAAGCTTCCGAGGTGGGGAGTTACTAGAGCTAGAATCATCAAAAGAGAACTCTACCACAGCTGCAGTGTGCCAATGCCCACAGGACACTGTTACTGTTCTTCGTCCTTGTAGAGTTTCAACTTCCCTAGGAATGCTAGTGCTACTACGATCCCCATGACCTAGAGCACCAAACGTTCCATCACCAAAAGTAAAAAGTTGGCCAACTGATGTTATAGCAGCCGAATGCCAAGGACCACAAGAGACATATGAGACATGCTTGCCAACCAAAGGACCCTTTACTTTTTTGGGGGTCCAGTGACTGATTCCACTATCATGCCCAAGGAGGCCAAAGTTAAAGGTACCTTCACCCCATGTATAGAGATCTCCACTGATTGTTGTGGCACAAGTATGATAATCTCCGCATGCTGCTGATGTAACATTCAACCCACAGAGAGTGTCTATAGGTTTTGGGCTAGAAACATCAGATTCTACTCCATGCCCTAGTCTGCCACCTGACCCCTCTCCCCAACTAAGGATTTCTCCTTGCTTTGTGATTAGTACAGCATGTGTGCTTCCACAAGCAATATTTTGAGCATCAAGTAGTAAAGCTGATTCCAAGGTCTTAGGCAAACGTGCATCCTTTCTTGCAGCTTCAAAGTTTCCACGTCCGCATATCCCACCACCAAGCAGGCCATCACCAATTCCTTCTCCCCATATTAAAATGTCACAAAGGGTATCAATAGTTGCGGAAGAAGATCCCTGGCTAGATGAACTAATGGCACTAGAGAAACTAAATCGGATAGTATCCGCAGAGCTCCGCCCATTTTCATCATCTAAGTTCCCGTATGATCTTGAGTTGAGGGAACAAGCGGCAAACTCTCTTTGGGAAGAACATTGTGCGGCTGCATTATACAGTAAAAAGTCAGAGAATGCTCTTTCTAATCTCTTTTTTGGGGGACTCTGAAATGGAACTGAAACCAATTGATTTTTCTTTGGGTCCTGTCATGAGAACAGGAAAAGAGTCAAGACCATAAATCAATCAACTTAACAAGAAAAGCACAGTAAGTACCTCATAGGGTGTACTGCTGCTTCCACTACTACTTGACAAAGCGGAGTGAGAACTTCGTTGTGTCACAGTAGTTAAACCTTCAGAAGATGTGGCATCATGTCCTATATCGCTTGTCCACTTTTGACAGTTAACCCGAGATATCAAAGCCCTGAGAGCAACAAACCAGACTTCTGCCTCTTCCTTATCTTTGCAGATCTGCCGAAGAATTCAGTTTTTGTTGCTATCATCTAAAATTATAAAATTCTTCTGGATTTCTTCATTTTTGTACTAATAATAATGGAGTAGATTAAAATCAAGGTATTCCGGGTCCGCCAATTTTCTTAACTCTGAGAGTACTAGTCCATATACTTGGGAAATACATAACACATGCTTTAATGATGATCTTTGTGGAAACCTATGTTGCTCGGGCCGTTCAAAATCTCTGCTGCACCTGTGTTGATTCGACATAGGTATATGTGTGGGTGTGAGATCCACACCGGATTGAATGCTTTGACTACATTTATGACCAAGAAGTGTAGATTGATTGGTATTTGGTTTTATATATATATATATATATATATATATATATATATATATATATATATATATATATATATATATTTTAACACTTTGCTATTACACGAGATATCTTTCGAATAAAATATTAGGTGTTTATAAAAAATTAAAGTTTATTAGTTTTGGTTCAATAACTTTAACTAATCGAAATATATATTTATATGCCGTATATACATGTATTGACCTTATCCTAGCATCCGCATCCATAGTCGGACCCGAATATTAAAAATAAATTGATGAAGAATCTGACCTCTAGATCCCCACCCGTGTTGGGTACCCGCACCCGAGTCCGAGCACCATAGGTGGAAACCATATCTAACCAGTAATNTAAACTATCGAAGCGAAGTACGATATGCACTTTCTTAGATATTGTATATCAACCAATAAAATGAGCAGGTACTAAAATCTACAACATATTATTCCAAGCAAGCATAGGACTCAAAGTTCATATATCATGAAAATACAGATGAACTGCAGACTGAGCCACAGGTGTTCATTGTCTATGTCTGAGGCAAAGTTATAGCAAATATAGCCACTTCATTGAAGAATGAAGACTGGCTAGTTGTGGACCAACATAGGAAATGTCTCCTATTTGCAATTATGCATAATAATACAATTTCCAATTTTCTTCCATTTCCTCATACTACTTGCATAGGTTATTTCACAGATTTACTAAAACAAAAAGGCAACTGAGGTATGAAATAAAAATTCATAGAGGGAATTTTTTTACCTCAAAAGAGAGCATTTTAAAAAAATACTTCTTTACATGTGAAAAGCATCCAAAAAACTGTATGTTAAGCAATCAATTAACTATGGCTCAATCGTCATGCCCATTTAATCGCAGTACTAACTAATCTTTCTTAAGCAAAAAACTTAGGGGTTTTCTAGATCTCAACTTACTAGTACATGGGTAATTACTAATTAGTTTATATCTCAACTAGTTGGTGACAATTTGCTCCTCCAAAAGCAATTTGTGAGTGAAGGAATTCAATTTTATGCAAGTGCTTAAACTTGGAAGGGAGTGTGACATGCTCTTAGGACTGTAAGTATTACTTACCAAATCCAAGGAACTTTTGCCATATAGAAGTGAAAATGACTGATATTCCTTCTCAGGTCTAGGAAACCGCAGAAAAATCGCCTACAATTCATTTGAGATAGAAAATGCAATCAATTGCACAATACTGGTTAGCATGGAATTTGGTGTGCATGATCTTGATAGCATAAGTCTTACAGTTCGTTGACCGGGAATAATCCTTGAAACCTGACTCAATTGAAGCTGTTTCTCCTCCTTGTCAACATACCATATCAGTCTTGTTTCATCCTGAAATTTAGCCATGAGAAGCAGTTGATGGATGATACTTCAGAGGATACCCCTTCTTTGAAGCAGAGAAATAGGACCCTTGTGTGTTAGTGTGTGTATCTGTGTGCAGAAGCATAGAGCTGATCTTGGATGCTATACACATCCTTCTTATTAAGTTCCAACTCATTAACTTCGACTCACTCATCTCTAGGCACAAGAAAGAATATCACAGTAGAGGTCAAGTAATTACACCGAGCAACCATGTAACTTGAACAATAGAAACATCAAAATGAAAGTGTAGAGCTTTACCTAACCTACGCTTTAAGGCTGAAAATCCAACCACATCTATTTAAACATCAGATTAAGATAAGCTGATGATATTATCTAGTTGTACAGTTGCTAGGCTTCTCCACAAGTCACAAACCACTTTATGTCAACCATATTTACCTCCACCCCCACCCCCCAGCATGAACATAGCATTTCCTTTTTTGTTGGTATGTCATTTTCACATTCACATAAGGAAATCCCAGTTTGTAATACTTTCATGGCCAGACAAAGAGATGAAAAAGGAATCCTAAGGAAGTTTTTTAATTACCCTCTTACTGCTCTACCTTTTTCTTACCATACCTCTCCTACCCCTTTTCAAATTCTCACCCTTCTCTTTCAACCCCTCTTCAACTCTCCCCACCACACTTCTCTTCTGCATGTATCTTAATCCTTCTCTAAGCTCCTTACAGGTTCTCCTTTCTCCCTACTCCTAGCTTACCTGCCCTTCCAATCCCGGTGCTATTTTGTTCCACTTGTTCCTTCTAAGCACGTTTCAAAATATTTTTGAGCTTCTCAAACTTGCTTCGTTTTTTTTTCTTCCCTTTCCAAGTATATACATGTATATAAAAGATGTTTCTAATTTTGTTCCTTACTAAGATAAAAAACACAATTCTTCAGATAGCCAACTGATCCCTCAAGTATTAGTTTTTGATCATTAAGTTATCAGCTATCCTCACCCGATATTTTCTTTTTGTGCATTCTTGAATGCAATAGACCTTTCCAGCAAGTTAAATTCAGGTAATTCAGAAATTGATGTTTTGTCGAAGCAATCTGAACATTATGACAGCACAGTTTTGAGTGCTGCCAAGACTTTGACGAATAAGCTATTTCTAAACTATACTTGCCTGATACATGGCATTTAGAGTTTTTAAATGAAGATTAAAAGATAAATGGATGTTCACAGAGAGTATGCTCGTGAGGAGAAGCAAACTAGAGAAAAAGAACAAAAAATTTGGGAAATAATGCACAATCAAATGCAAAGCCCATACAGTAGAAAGACGAAAAGGGCAGAACTTTGGCTTTCCTCTGCGTCCATACTTCAGTAGATATGTTCCTCTCTTTAAGGCTGTAATGGCCTGCAAGTTGCAGAAACAAGGATTTGTAGGTTGAAGATAACAAACAGCTCATTATAGAAATTTTACCTTATCAGCAACAGATACACCCCTTCGTTCCTCAAATTAATAATATTGATTTGTATGGCTTTTAAGAGAATTATAAAATTTACAACTGTTTAACAAGGAAAACTTAGGTCCAAATCTTAGTTTATAGAGTTCTGAAATAGAACAGGGAAAGAAGTCTATTCAACAGAGAGAACATGGGTGGAGTACAAATTTATAAGCTCCTTTTATCTGATATTCCACACCGAGAAAATATGCCACTCAAATTGGTCTTTTCATCAGGGGCACCAGATTGTGGCAATTCAGTAAGAAAATAATAAGAGTATGCAGAACCTACTTTCTACATTTTTTTGGATGAGGTAAAAGAATGTCTGAGCTCGGGTTCGAACTGGGACCTCTAGTGTGTGAGACTCGCGTGATAACCAACTACACCAGAAGCTACTTTCTACATTTAACCTTTTGAAGTTTAAATTTCAAAGAACTTTTGCGATCCACATATTTAGGCTACTCTTTCTACATCTGTACTAGTTTCTTTTCCAGATAACAAAAGTCTCCCTTCTTCTTTTTTCTCCCTTCTTCTTTTTTCTGAGCCGAGGTCCTATCGGAAACAGCCTCTCTGCCCTATCGGGGTAGGGGTAAGGTCTGCGTACACATTACCCTCCCCAGACCCCACTGTGTGGGATTTTACTGGGTAGTTATTGTTGTTGTTGTTGTAACATAAGCACATATACTGAATAATATCTAGGTATTAAAATTTTGGAATTTTTCCATTAAAAAATGGCAATAGAAAGAACTAAAAATGTTCATGCTATGACTGCTAAGACTGTAAGGACACTTATAATGGACAAACGAGCTCAACTACGCTATAGACCTTTTTTTCCTTTAATATGAATTAATAGACTTCAATATGGGTATGTTTTGCATTCCCTATCACACGTCCTTGCCGTGCACAACTCTACTACCATGTCAATCGTCCGTTGACCTTCCCATGTCAACTCATGATAGACTTCTGTATATGGAACTGAACTTCAACCAACAGTTTCTAATTTGGGACTGCAGTGCTAGCTTTTCTCTCCTTCTTAAAGGTGAATAACCTTTTTAGATTTTTACAAAATATAATCACTTTACATGTTCTCCCAAAAGGGTTTTTTTTTTTAAAAATCAAACGCCAATTAACAACAGGCAGTACATTAAATAGGCGTTTGTGGTGCAGCGCCCAGAAAAAGAAGTAACTAAGCATCCTTTATGTTATTTTAAGTTTAACGTCCAGTTTAAGAATTTATGGTTAATAATCATAATGGATGTATTGGTTTAATGCAGGTATTTAAAGCCATTGGTTAATATTAATTGGAAGGGAAAAAAGGACGACTGACAACTAACGCATGTAAGATACTCAACCTTCTCTCTTTGCATCCTTCTTCTTGATAAACAAATATTACGTAAAGGTCTGAAAAACAAAAACATAGGTGTTGATGTAATTATAGGCATGGTTCTATTCATTGCCTGATTATGTGAACCAGTAGGATTCGCTCACTTCGATTACCTGAATTTGTATTTCTTTTTTCCTTTATTGACTAAAGGATACAAACATTTCTAATTTGATTCCGGAATATGAAGCTAGCTTTCTTACATTGGTGGTGAGAGTTTGCCCTTCGTCAATATCCGCTCTGTTCTTAAGCAGAAAAGAATAGAAAAGTTTAGCAATATACATCACCTGTTCCACATTCCTCTCTCCAAGACTGTTCCTCCGTATGTTGTTCATTAAGCTGTTATATGAACTTTTGCTCTTTGATCATGATAATACCAAACATCTGGTAGACGACAAAAGAGTCCCCATGGTTCCTCCATAGGAAGACTTCACAAAATTTTCCTTCAAGAGAGGATATCAATATCATACAGAGTATTTCGAAAGAGCCAATAAACATGAGTAAGCGTAAAATAAGGAAAATGATTAATTGAAGAAACTCGACACGAACTATTAAGTAATGGCACTTTTCCTACAAAATAGAGACAGAAATATTTGCAGTTTATGACAGACAGGCTTCTCTTATCGTTGTACTGAATAACCAAAAAATGACTTAAGATTACGTTCCACTAGTAGCATCATCTTTTCAAACAAATCAAGTATAATTAAACGAAACATCAAAGCATGGAAAAATTACACTTAAAATCTAAGCAAAACTTCTTTGGATATCCAGAACTACTGGTCATGACAACATCCACATTCTATGCAATACTCAAACAACCACAACTCCCTAACTATGGTCACGAATACATATCAATATCACGTAAGAATATGAAAACAAAATAAAAAACATGTTCCTATATTTTCCTAGCTTCTAGTTCAAAATTCAACAGACAAACAACATCAGAACCAACAAGGAGCTAGGGTTTAGGTCAATGCAAACCAATTTATACACGTTTGACCTATGCAGGCGACAGAGAACACCGCTGAACAGTAGATGCAATTCAAGGAAAATGAAAATGAAACTCATATTTTGTGCTTAAAGAAGATCAATACAGGTAAAGAGCACTCACTGTTGCCGAATTCTGGAAGAAGCCAATGTCAATTTAGGCTCCGCATTCAATGAACAGATGAAATACGGATGGATTTTTGAAGCTTAAATTCTCGATTTGATTACAAAAGCGAAGCGTTCGTTGATTTTTTTTCTTCTATAAGGAATTTGATAAAGTCATCGGATCGAAATGTCTGGAAGCGAAATGAGAATCTCGCAGAGGTTTGTGCGGAAATTAGTGTGTGATTTTCTGTTTTGCCTCTGAGCAGTACGTATGTATTACATGTGTGCGTAATATATACGTATAGGCTATAGCTCTTCTTATTTTATTTTTTTTCTTGGATTAATTTATAGTTATTCAATCGTGAATTAGACTTTGTTCATGCCACGTAGTCAACGAAATATGAATCTGTTGCAACTTTTCCGCGGCAAGGAAGTGGGGTACTACTGTTGGTTGCAGGGGCCTTTTCTGTTTCTCCCAGACTTGTCTCCAATCAACTAACTTCCCGCCAGTTTTTTCCCAGCTGGGTTTTGTTATAATAATACTTCTTTTTTGTTGTATTATAGGAGTAGTAGCTATAAGCTACTGAGTTCAGCTGCAGTCCTACGAAGTTCAATTTATTTTCCTGCCAATTTGTAATTTGTAAATTTATTCTACATTACATATATGATAAAATAAAATATACTAGAGCTTTTTGTAGAATCGTTTTTTTTAATCAAATTATCATAATATATTATTTTGTCGTTTGATTATCATAGTTTAGCATTTATTTAGCTGAATAATTCATTGTGTAAGCGAGGTTTTCGACTCCTTTTGTGTAATAATTCTACAGCTAATAGCATATCCCAAGGTCAGGATTAGGTGATTTTGGAAAGAATATTTGTTGAATAATAATTACTTCATTCGTCTCATTGTATATTAATGTATTCGACTAGTTTATTATAGTAATGAGAGTGGAAGAAAAATACCAAAGAAATGATTGAAAAGTTAGTTTGATAGAAGAAAGTTTATATTTTATTTAAATCTTGAATTTTAATTAATTTAAATTATTAAAAATTGTAGAAGTCAATGTCAAGCATTTTTTGAAACAATATAGAAACATTGTTATATAAAATTAAACAGACAAAGTAAATGCTTATCGCTTATCGTACAGTTCTCATTTTGGAAAAAAAAACACACTATTTAACAAAGAAAAAACAATCACTGAAATAAATTGTACCTCAGTCTCAAATCTATTGTGGTATACTGTATAAATTCCCCATATCCATTTAGCTTTATATAAGTCCAAGTTATTCCATCTATTAAACCAAACAATTTGTAAAATGAAGTTTCTCTTGTAAAACAATAAAAGTAGAAGAACAATATTGCAGAGAAAGAGAGATAAGGAATTCTTATTGAATTTTGGGATGAATTATAATGGAATAGAACCCTCTATTTATAGGGAGAGAGTGACTTAGCCACCAAGTAATAAACCCTAGAATCTCTCTAAATATAGACATTCACCATAAATAAAATTCTATTTATAACACTCCCCCTTGAATGTCTATTCAACAGATAATGTGCCTCGTTAAAACCCTAACTAAAATAAAACCCAGTGGGAAAAAAATTCTAGAGAAGGAAAAAGAGTACACATATCTAATAATACGCCTTTTGGTTGCCTCGTTAAAAACCTTGCAAGGAAAACCCAGCGGGACAAAACCTTGTAAGGGAAAAAGAGTACAACGCGTATTAACTCCCCCTCATGAGAGCATCACTTCACATTCTTAAGCATTTGTATTCCAATCTTGTGCACCATCTTCAAAAGATCTTTGGTAGAGATTTGATGAACAAATCAGGCATATTAACTTGAATGAATATATTGCACCTTGAAATCATCATTCTTGATAGAGATGAATTGTCTTCATATGATCTTGTTGGAATCATCAGTTCAATATCTTCACATAGAGATGAAAACTCTTGGTATCATATTATCATGCCTATAGTTATAGCAAGATACATATGTGCACAAATTGCACTTAGGATGTAGTACTTCATGACCATGAATTCTATATGCTTTAAGCAATTTAAATCCTTCAAGGATTGTCATATAAGTCATATAATAGACTTTAATTCGATGCATATTAAGTTTTCATGTCATGCTAGACAAATAAGATATCGAAAACTGATTGCACATACCATTAACTTATACTTTCAAGTGTTTGAACTACAGGTCCAAAACTACATGTCTTTCCTATAAAACCAATTCTACTTAAATTGTTTCTCTTGACTTAAGATCCTCATATATATATATATATATATATATATTTAGCGCTACTATAGGTGTCGTCGACAAATATTTTATATCGGTTCCAACCTCCTTATTTTTCATAAAGGCATAACATAGAGATCTCTTNAAACAAACGCTCGTCCTCGAGCGGGTCAAGGAACATACCTGGAGTCTCAAACAAGTGAGGATATCTGATCCGCATCTCCCGCTCGGTCTCCCAAGTAGCCTCCTCCACGGGCCGACCTCTCCACTGCACCTTCACCGAAGCTCTATCCTTTGATCTCAACTTTCGAATCTGACGACCTAAAATAGCCACTGGCTCCACATCATAAGTCAAGTCATCATCCAACTGAACCGTGCTGAAGTCTAACACATGGGCCGGGTCTCCAACATACTTTCGGAGCATAGAAGCATGAAATACCGGGTGAACTCCCGACAGGCTGGGTGGAAAAGCAAGCATGTAGGCCACCTCCCCAACTCTCCTAAGTATCTCAAAAGGACCAATGAACCGTGGACTCAACTTTCCTTTCTTTCCAAATCTCATAACGCCCTTCATAGGCGAAACCTTCAACAAAACCTTCTCGCCCACCATGTAAGATACATCTCGAACCTTCCGGTCCGCATAACTCTTCTGACGCGACTGAGCTGTATGAAGTCTCTCCTGGATCACCTCACCTTCTCTAAGGCATCCTGCACCAACTCTGTCCCCAATAGTTTAGCCTCGCCGGGCTCAAACCAACCAACCGGAGATCTGCACCGTCTCCCATATAAGGCCTCATACGGCGCCATCTGAATACTGGACTGATAGCTGTTGTTGTAAGAAAACTCTGCAAGTGGCAGGAACTCAGCCCAAGAACCTCCAAAATCAATAACACAGGCACGCAACATGTCCTCCAATATCTGAATGGTACACTCGGACTGCCCGTCCTTCTGAGGATGAAATGCGGTACTCAACTCTACCTGTGTACCCAACTCTCGCTGAAAAGTCCTCCAAAAATGGGAAGTAAACTGAGTACCCCTATCTGAGATGATAGAAACTGGGACCCCATGCAACCGAACAATCTCCCGGATGAAAATCTCCGCCAGCCGCTCTGAAGAATAGGTAGTACACACTGGAATGAAGTGCGCGGACTTGGTCAGCCGATCCACAATCACCCAAATCGAATCAAACTTCCTCGAGGTACGAGGGAGACCACTCACAAAATCCATAGTAATCCTCTCCCATTTCCACTCCTGAATATCCATCCGCTGAAGTACACCATCGGGCCTCTAATGCTCATATTTGACCTGCTGACAGTTGAGACACCGAGCTACATAACTCACAATATCTTTCTTCATTCTCCTCCACCAGTAGTGCTGCCTCAAATCCTGATACATCTTCGCGGCACCCGGATGAATGGAATACCGCGAGCTGTGGGCCTCCTCTAATATCAACTCCTGCAGCCCATCCACATTGGGCACACAAATCCGGCCCTGCATCCTCAACACACCAGCATCATCAATAGTCACATCCCTGGCATCATCGTGCTGAACCCTGTCCTTAAGGACAAGCAAATGCGGGTCATCATACTGGCGCTCTCTAATACGGTCATACAAGGAGGACCGAGAAACCATACAAGCCAACACCCGACTAGTCTCCGAAATATCTAACCTCACCATCCGATTGGCCAAAGCCTGGACATCAACTGCAAAGTGCCTCTCCCCAACTGGAATGTATGCCAAACTACCCATACTAACCGCCTTTCGGCTCAAAGCATCGGCCACCACATTGGCCTTCCCCGGGTGATACAAAATGGTAATATCATAATCCTTGAGTAACTCAAGCCACCTCCGCTGCCTCAAATTAAGATCCTTCTGTTTGAACAAATGCTGAAGGCTACGATGATCCGTATATACCTCACAAGATACGCCATATAAGTAGTGCCTCCAAATCTTCAAAGCATGAACTATAGCAGCTAACTCCAAATCATGAACACGGTAGTTCTTCTCATGGGGCTTCAACTGACGAGATGCATATGCAATAACTCTACCCTCCTGCATCAACACACATCTAATCCCAACTCTCGAAGCATCACAATATACAGTGTATGAACCCGAAGCTGATGGCAACACCAACACTGGAGCCGTGGTCAAAGCTGTCTTGAGCTTCTGAAAGCTCTCCTCGCACTCATCAAACCACAAAAATGGTGCACCCTTCTGAGTCAACCTGGTCAAGGGTGAAGCAATGGATGAAAAACCCTGGACGAACCGGCGATAATAACCTGCCAACCCGAACTCCGAATCTCCGTGGCTGAGGACGGTCTAGGCCAACTCTGAACCGCCTCTATCTTCTTAGGATCAACCTGAATACAATCACTGGACACCACGTGTCCCAGAAAAGCCACAGAACTAAGCCAGAACTCACACTTGGAGAACTTTTCATAGAGCTTCTCCTCTCTCAGCCTCTGCAACACCACCCTCAAATGCTGCGCGTGCTCCTCCTGACCACGCGAGTACACCAGGATATCATCAATAAACACAATCACAAATGAATCCAGATACGGCCGAAATACACTGTTCATCAAGTGCATGAATGCTGCTGGGGCATTAGTCAACCCAAAGGACATAACTAGAAACTCATAGTGCCCATATCTCGTCCGGAAAGCAGTCTTCATAATATCTGAATCCCTAATCTTCAGCTGGTGATAGCCTGAACGAAGTAAGATATCTGAATCCACATGGTACTTCAGGACCAAGAATTGTATATGCTTTAAGATTTAAATCCTTCAAGGAGTGTCATATAAGTCAGATAATAGACTTTAGATGCATATCAAGTTTTCATGTCATGCTAAAACTGATTGCAAATACCATTGACTTTGTACTTTCAAGTGTTTGAACTGCAGGTCCAAAACAACATGTCTTTCATATGAAACCAATTCTATTCGAAATTGTTTCTCCAGACTTAAGATCCTCGTATTTATTTAGCGGTGTCATAGATGTCTTCGACGAACATTTTATATCGGTCTCAACATTTTTAATAAA